GAAGGGAAAGGATAGAATCCAACAAGTTCTTTAGAGAACCCAGAATTAGGTTTTCATAAGAAGGCTTGGGTTCTTGAACCCAAAGCTAGTTCCATATTTGTTCTCATTAAATAAGCCAATTTGGGTTTCTCTGGGAAAGGACCTAACACTTTCACCCATGTTCGGCTCTTGTTCTTTGTTCTATCATTCTTCTATTCACAAACTCAATCCATGTATTGATGGCATTGACATATGGATAATTGACGAAGAAAGCGGCAGAGAAGGACAACAGAGACGAACAAAGCATTTGTGAAGGTGAAGGTAGAAGGGATACACGGATTGAGGAATGGAAACATAAAAGGAGAACAAGGGGAGTGATGGAGATGGAGAATTGGAGAAGGGGAATATTTTGTTTGTTAGTGAACTAGAATTATTCAATTTTTTTGTCCTTTTTATGTTTATTTTGATTAATTATGGGTTTAATTAAGGTTTATGGAGTTTAACCATACTCATTAATATGTACTTATATAATTGTTTTCAATTAAACATTTTGGGAGTATAATTTAATTGTTAAATTATAATTTAAGAGTTAATTATAGTAGGTAGGCCAATTAAAATGTAATTATATATTTTTTAATTCTTATTTAATTAAAATAGTTCACTAAAAAGCACCTGCCCTTTCGGGCCAAGTGACCTTCGAGCTACCTTGGAGGTGCAGTCCCCCCTTCCCTGGTGGGTTCGAACCCACCCTTGCTACTTTGTTCAAAAAAAAAAAAAATAGTTCACTAAAAAAGATGAAAAAAAGTAGTGTAGTAAAGTGACGTTGTCTTCTCTAATGTGGAATTTCCACATCAGCAAAACAATTAAAAACATGAATTTATTAAGAAGTTAACGGGTTAGCATTTAATTAACTGGAAGGACCAAAATTGGTGTTGAAAATTTTAAGTTTAATGATAATTTTTGTAGTTTTTGAAGTTGAAGAACCAACTTAGTCCAAAACTCAAACTTCAGATACCAAAATGATGATTTAACCATTTTAAAATTAATTCTCAGGAACTTAAATGAAAATATTATAAAGTTTAAGGGCTTAAATGTTGTCAATTCCTAAGTCGAGGCCATCTATGTATACGTCTGTATAAGATTCCCCCAAACCAAACCCTCTCTCATCATCAAAAGAAAAATCTTTCTGCAAAAGAGATACAATCATGTCCGCCGGGAACGCCACTAGCGACCCTAACGCGGCCGGCGGTAGCAATAAACAATTCTTTTGCCACCAATGTAACCGCACCGTCATCGTGACTGTCTTCCCATCCACGGACATTTGCTGCCCTCTTTGCAACGGAGGCTTTATCGAAGAATATGAAAACCCTAACCCAGCGTCTGCATACCCAAATCCCGCTTCATACATCAGCCCTTTTCCTGAATACTTTAACCCCTTATCCGTTTCACCGGCCAACTTTCTCCAGCTCCTCTTATCATCCACCTCCCCAATGACATCATCATCCTCTGGCAGTGGCGGCCTCCAGAACCTTTTTGGGTCGTCCCGACCAGCCCCAGGCAGCCAAGAGGGGTTTGATCCCTTCCTATTTATGCATGACTACCTGTATAACCTACGCTCCAGCGGGGCCCGCGTTCAGGTTGTGTTCGAGAACCAGCCGTCAGAGACAGGTTTCGGGTCTGTCAATGTTGGAGACTACTTCATGGGGCCTGGTCTCGAGCAGCTTATTCAGCAGCTCATGGAGAATGATCCTAACCGCCGTGGCACTCCACCTGCTGCCAAGTCGGCGATCAACTCTCTCCCTTCCGTGAAAATAACTGGAGAGATAATGAACTCAGAGATGAACCAGTGTGCGGTGTGCAAGGATGAGTTAGAGGAAGGGACTGAAGCGAAGCAGATGCCGTGCAAGCATCTTTACCATGAAGATTGCATATTGCCGTGGCTCAAAATGCACAATTCCTGTCCTGTTTGTCGGTATGAGTTGCCCACAGAGGATGAAGATTACAACCGGAGGATGCAAGCTGGCCATGGGAGTGGTGTTAGTAGCAGTGGTGACGAGCGGAATTCAGGCGGCGAGAATCGGACAATGGAGAGGAGTTTTAGTATATCATTGTCTTTGCCATCAGGGCGTAGTGGGTCAGGTTCGGGGACAGGTGCTGGCTCTGAGACTCGATATGAAGATCTGGGTTGAGAATTGTGAGTGTTACTTTTTCTTTTGTTTTGGTTCTATTTACGTGATACTGCCTTATTTTAACCTGTAACTCTGATTATTTGTTACACATGAGAGGTTCAGTTTAGATAGAGGATTGAATTATTTTGTGTCATTCTTCATGCATTCAAAATGGTCACGGATAGAAATTAAGTATTTGCTTCCTAGGGATTTTATTGCACTGCACTAGTGATTGATATGGTTTAACATATAACCATGTAACCTGCATCTTGAATATTTACACTGGAGACTTTTGCTTCATTGTTTTGGCATGGTAGTCCACCAGTGAGATCATCTGTCTATCCCAGTTATATAGGAAAAGAAGCAGTTTTTTTGCTGATGACCTAATTATCATGATTAAAAAATTTTGCTTCATTAATGCTTTTAGAACATTGTTTGGATTTAATCAACTTTTACTTACATGATATGATGAAAGAAAATTAGTAGGAAAAGAAAAGAAGAAAGTTTTTTAATCTCTACTCTCTGCTGTTCCTAGTTATTTGGTTACTGTGACATTTTAGTTACCAGAACATTTTAGTTCACTTCAATTACTTGTGTATGGTTACTTCTTTGTACCTTCAATGGAAGAATGTACTTAAAATGTGCTCTACAAATTTGGTGGTTAATCTTGAAGCTGGTCTATCATATAAAAGTCGGCTTTCAGTCTGGAACCTACATGGAAAGTTTTGGTTGGGATCTTGTTAAATTTCAGATAGAACTATTTGTTAATTTTTATTATCTTTTGATACGTCCTGTTAAACTAGATTTAAATTATTTCTATGCAAATAATATGTAGTTTATGCATCATGATATTACTAAAAAAATCAAAGGAGACAAAGTATAAGTTTTTTATTTTTTAATATCTAATATTGCTCTCAGAAATGGCTGAATAGGTTACAGATTCTTAAAGTATTTAACTTGTGAAAGATTTTTTTTTTATTGAAATGTAATACTTGGTCCAAACATGGTATGTAATGTGGTAGAAGTAGATTACATCTATCTGCTTTGGGCATAACACTCTAAAAGTCATCTTCTAGGTCTAGAAGCAAGAACTTATCCTCCAAGATTAGTTCCAACTAGTTTTCAAGTCTATCTTATCTGCTTAATAACTCCACCTAGGGAGTGTTGAATTAGTTTTCAATTATAAAATACAATAAAAGGCAGATTTGTCTGCTTTATGGGAAGCTATATAAAAGTGTGTTAAAGAAGACATGTGAAGGTAAGGGAGACTCATTAAAAAAATAAAATTGGTCAAAAGGGTAGGCACTAAATTTACCTTTGAAAGCAAAATTTGTCCTAATTGTTTCTTACAGTCTTGTAACTAACTAGCAATAAGAGTTCAGCATTTGATTAGGTAGAGTTTAGAATACATATATTATGAGGTGTGTTGGTTTGGAAGCCAGACATTGTGGTTGTTGTTTGTTGATGGTCCAACTTTAGTTTGTCAGGAAGCCTTTGGATTAAAAGTGATCAATGAGAGATACCTGCATCCAACTCTCTCATGAGAAGGGCAATTCTGAGGGAAGTTAAATCAGCAACAAAATTAAAGTCAAATTTCTCTTCTTTTCTTTCTGGGGAGAAAGAGAGGGACAAGGGAACATAAAACATGGGAACTTAGCAAAGTCATACTGTTTATAGCTTTTGTCTTAGTCATCTATTAGAAGCATAAGTCAACAATTATTTTTTGAAGATTAACCTTTCCTTTTCTTCCAAGTAATCATAATTTGTATTGAAAAGAAAATTGCTGGCACAGTGTATGCTTTTTTAATTTCCTATCATGCCTTTGATGATCAGAGTTTAAAGTTAATGCTTTCCATTCCAAATACTTGGTTTTAATATGTTGAAGTTGGAGTGGTGCCATATGTATTATGTGTGTTTGTGTGTGTGTATATATATATGAAAAAGATAATTATCTTTTTTATCTAAAAAGTTGTGATAAATCTCAACCATTAAAAGTAGAGAAATGAATGGTCAAGATTTTGTGTAAATGGGGTGTGTAAGATTTGTGTGTAACTAGATCCCTTTTCTCTCTCTATACATATATATATATGTGTGTATATATTATGAAATATGAACTAGAACTGATCCTATTTAAATAATACCTGGTCATAATTTTCCTTTGGTATGACTTAACATTCACGAAATATGCTTTGGTTTGACCCCATGTCACTGTACTACCTTTTGGTTTGGTTTGTGCTATTGAAATTCTTATCTTTAGGTTAAAAAAATTTCTATATGTTGCTCCCACTAGTGTTGACTATTGTTATTAAGTTAATAATTCAATGAAATTACCAAAAAGTCTTGTTAGAGGTTGAAGCGAATTTTTTTTTGTTTATCACTTCACTCTCTTTTGTCAGTGGTGTTAATTGGAGTCCTTGCAGATACAATCTTCTTAGCTGTTAAGTTCACTGCTGAAACAAAAGGTAGCAAAGTAAATTGAGCTACGTGTGGTAATCCTTGGTTCTGATTCATCAGTATTGTACTTGTTCACACCCCCTCCCCTCTTCCCCATCACACATTTGAAAATTTTTTAATTTCATTGTAATACGGTGTTGGCTTTTCACAGATGATCAAGGTCATAAAATTTGTTTTCATTTGGTTTGAGGCTGGTGTCAACATCTGATATTTAGGCAAAATTAGGTATCAATTTTTGTGCAGTGCTAGTCTTTTTCTGCCATTATTTTATTATATTGTTTCGAGCTTAATTCATTTCACAGTTTCACTTTGATGGGAAACTTATGGATGAATTTTTTGTGTTAACTTATAGATTATAGACAAGTAGAGTTAATAATTGTTTGAATTCCTTATTTCAAATCTGCAGTGGTATCTATATAATAGCTTGTTGATTTTGCTGTTGATACATTGCTGAAATTTTTGCCTTAAGTGTTGAATGTTTTACTATTTTCTTTTCTTTTCAGTAGTCTGTCTATTTCTTAACAATCTGAATGACTCTGGAACTGGTTCAAGGAAAATAATTCTGGCTGCATGGGAAATTTAATGATAGCTATCATAATTCTAATTATAGAACCCTCTTTTAGGAATAAGATTCTCATGGTTAGAGCTGCTAACTAGTCAATACAGTACCTAGGTGCTTGAGCTTGCCTCATATTATCAAGTTTGAGCTTCAATTTATCAAGCTTAGAATTGTTGAGCTCAACTTGCAATCTTGTTTAGCGTGAACACAAGCTCGGTCTATACTCAAGCTCAAGTCTCAGTTTGTTTCCTAAAATTCTAATAGAGAATGTTTAAACAAGCAATCATTCAACCATAACCAACCAAACAATCAAATTCTACTTTGTTGTAGGTTAAGTTTAAAATATGGAATAATTGTAAAGTTACCATTTTAGCCTTGTTGTACATTTAAATTGTAATAAATATATTATATGTAATGTTAATGCGAAATCGAGTACTCACAAGTAGCTTGTGAGTTGTGAACTTGAGCTTGACTTGAGTAGCTGAATTGAGTACTTGGAAAATGGTTCTGGCTGCTTGGGAAATGTAATGATAGCCATGACAGCTAAATCGAGTATTTGGTTTTTTTTTCAAGCTTGACTGCATGAGCTTGACTTGAGTAACTCATGAACTTGCAAACAACTCTACTCGCCAATAGCCCAACTTATGGTAGAGGTCCAAAGTTAAACTCTTCCCCTTTGGCCTTGCCCAAGGTGAAATCCACCAAAATGAAGGTTAAAATGTGCATATGTATTTGTTATTCAACGAAAGCAAGCATTTGCAACTGCACACCCAATAATGCAACATTCATTTTATTGGAGCCCAAATGTCTAAATGTTGTCTATTTTAGAAATTTTTTTTTTTTTTATCATTAAG